AGAAAAAAAAGGCTGGGTGCGGTGGCTCACGCCTGTAATCCCAGCACTTTGGGAGGCTGAGGCGGGTGGATCAAGAGGTCAAGAGGTTGAGACCATCCTGGCCAACATGGTGAAACGCTGTCTCTACTAAAAATACAAAAATTAGCCAGGCGTTTGGCACGCGCCTGTAGTCCCAGCTACTCGGGAGGTTGAGGTGGAAGAATTACTTGAACCTGGGAGGCAGAGGTTGCGGTGAGCCAAGACTGCGCCACTGCACTCCAGCCTGGTGACAGAGCAAAACTCCATCTAAAAAAAATTTAAAAAAAAGGTCACATCAAGAGTTGAGCCTGGCAGCCCAGCTGCAGCATCCTGCTCAGCCACCCCGTATTGCTCACTACATCAAGACACAGCCTCCAGTCTCTGTTGCTGCTCTCTACACCAGCAGCCAAGCCTGATTACTTAATGTCCCCTCCATGCCTAGCAGAGAGCTACCTCTTTACTCTTCCTTACCAATTGCATCAACTGCTACCTTCTATCTTTCTTTTTTCTTCTACCTTCCTTTTATTTTGTCATAGAGATGGGGTCTTGCTATCTTGCCCAGGCTGGTCTCAAACTTCTGGCCTCAATCAATTCTCCCGCCCTGGCCTCCCAAGGTGCTGAGATTATAGATGTGAACCACTGTGTCCAACCCCTTCTCCCTTTTCCCCTTCCTTCTTCCCTCCTCTTCCCCTCTTATTCTGAACAGAGTTGCTTTTCTTTTTTTGTCAGAGTTTTGCTCTGTCATCCAGGCTGGAGTTCAGTGGCACTGTCTCGGCTCACTGCAACCTTTGCCTCTCAGATTCAAGCAATTATCATGCCTCAGCCTCCACGGTACCTGGGATTACAGGCATGTACCATGACACTTGGCTAATTTTTGTATTTGTATTTGTATTTTTTAATTTTTTGACATGGAGTCTAGCTATGTCACCCAGGCTGGAGTGCAGTGGTGCGATCTCGGCTCACTGCAACCTCCACCTCCTGGGTTCAAGTGATTCTCCTGCTTCAGCCTCCCAAGTAGCTGGGACTACAGGTGCATGCCACTGCACCCAGCTAATTATTTATATTTTTGGTAGAGATGGGGTTTCACTGTGTTGGCCAGGCTGGTCTTGAACTCCTGATCTCAAGTGATCCACTTGCCTCAGCCTCCCAAAGTGCTGGGATTACAGGCGTGAACCATCCTGCCCCGCCCAGAGTTGCTTTTCAAATGTTTAATTTCTTATATGATATTTTAGACATACAATATTTTAGGCCGGGCGCGGTGGCTCATGCCTGTAATCTCAGCACTTTGGGAGGCTACAGTGGGTAGATCACGAGGTCAAGAGCTGAAGTCCATCCTGGCCAACATAGTGAAACCCCATCTCTACCAAAAATGTAAAATTAACTGGGTGTGGTGGTGCATGCCTGTAATCCCAGCTATTCGGAGACTGAGGCAGGAGAATCGCTTGAACCTGGGAGACAGAGGTTGCAGTGAGATTGCTCCACTGCACTCCAATCTGCGTGGCAAGAGAAATACTCCGTCTCAAAAAAAAAAAAAAATATATATATATATATATATACATTTTAACTATAAAATATTATATAATATTTTATGCAAAATTTAGTATTTATGGCTAAAATATTGATGGGGTTTTGCCATGTTCCCCAGTGAAACCCATCACTACTAAAACACCTATGTACCCATCACCGGTTTAAGAAGTAGCAACATTTAATTCTGTGCGTGGGAAGAAAAAAATGGCAACCTTGTGGTGATTGTTGAAGCCCCAGCATTATTCTGCTCCCAAATTGCACTCTCCCTCCTAGAAGTAATAGGGATCCTAGCTTGGTGACAATCATTTCCATGCATCTGTAGAAACACATAGTTGCTTTTGACTGACAGTAAGGGAATTTCGAGCTTGATTCTTGACAAGGAAACATAGCAGGAGGTAGGGCTAAAGATGGAGGCGTAGCTTGAACAGAATTTCTTCTGGAAATATATTATGTTGAAATATTTTAGACACAGAAAGGCATATATAGAATGATAGAGTAAACCTCTTGCTTAGGAAATGAAACATTAAAAATAGTACCCCTCCCTCCCCAAAATTGTCCCCAAGGTTTTCTTCCCTGGTTGCACTTTTTATTTTTTATTATTTTTATTTTACTTTTTTAGAGACGGGGTGTCACCATGTTGACCAGGCTGGTCTTAAACTCCTGATCTCAGGTGATCCACCCTGAGATCTTGGCCTCCCAAAGTGCTGGAATTACAGGCGTGAGCCACTGAGCCTGGCCTTGCATTTTTTATTTTTTTGAGATGGAGTCTCGCTCTTTTGCCCAGGCTGGAGTGCAGTGGCGCGATCTTGGCTCACTGCAACCTCCGCCTCCCAGGTTCAAGCAATTCTCCTGCCTCATCCTCCTGAGTAGCTGGGACTATAGGCATGCGTCACTATGCCCAGCTAATTTTTGTATTTTTAGTGGAGATGGGGTTTCACCGTGTTGGCCAGGATGGTCTTGATCTCTTGATCTCGTGATCCTCCCGCCTTGGCCTCCCAAAGTGCTGGGATTACAGGCGTGAGCCATCAAGCCCAGCCTGTATTTCTTTTTTTAGTAGAGACCATGCTGGCCAGGCTGGTCTTGAACTCCTGACCTCAGGTGATCTGCCAGCCTTGGCTTCCCAAAGTGCTATTATAGGCGTGAGCCACCATGCCCAGCCTGATTGCATCCTTCTAGATGAACTTCTCTCCTGAATTTGGGGCTTATCATTTTGTGCTGGATCTTGGGAGAGGAGCAGCGGTTTGGGGTCAGATAGGGTTAGGAAGGGGCATCACCAACAGAATGTCAGGGTAAAGGCCCAGAGGAGTGAGTCTGGGAGGCAGGTGTTGGCATGATTGGCAAGCTGGGCACCTGCCAGGGAGGGGCTGAGACAGGTAAGTAGCCAGCCCCACTGTTCTCTGGGCCCTGGCTTCCATGTTTCCCTCTATCATCGTCCTAATCACACCGAATCCTAATGATCTGTTAGCTTGACTCCAAGGTCCTGAGGGTAGGGACCCTCTTGGTCATCGCTGTCACCCCAGTGGCTAACCCAGTGGCTGGCACAAATGGCTTTTTGCTAAATATTAAATGGATACATGAGTGACTGAGTAACTGATTTCTGCCTGCCTGCTGAAGGGGTTGCTGGTAGCAAGAGGACAGTCTGAGTGGAAAGTGTGAACAAGAGCATTTTGGAAGAGAATTGTCATTTTATTAGCATTCAGTATAGTCACACCTCTGCCTTCCTCACTGTGGCCCAGCAGAGACCTTGCTTGAATGCGTATCGGTCAGGGTGAGAAATCTGCTGTGTGGACAGGTGTGTGATGATGCGGTAACCAGATGGGCTTCTCGTGGCTTCCACCACCGCCAGCGCTGTTCACCACCCTTCAAACTATTAGCTTTGATTGGCATTAAAGGAATAATCAGCCTCTCACAGAAGCAGGACCTATTTCTCTTCCTTCAAAACAACCCTCAAAGCCTGTGAATCCCCTCCAGTGTGCTCATTATGCGGTTAGCTCTGCTCTCGGCTGCAGAGGCAGCTCAGTTTGCATTCCTAGATGCCCCGCTCAGGGGTGGGCATGCTTTGGTGGGTTTTGAGTGGTGAGAAGTGCTTTTCTCAGAGGCTGCATTCCACATGAGGCCTAATAAACGATAGAATGCGTCTGCGATTAGTGGCATCTCTGCTTGCAGACTTAATGTGCCGAAGGCTGCTTGTTGATTTTCTTGCACCATTCAAAGGGATGCCACAAGCTCTTTAGGTCAGACCTTGGCTTAGCGAGCCCCCCTCTTCCTTTTTGTCCCATGAAGAGGACAATGCAGTAATGTGAAAGAGCCCAGTGGGTCGAGCTACATCTATCACATAGCAAATCTGAAAAGGTTTCCAGTCAAGGTCAAATTCTTCTTCCTATTTTTCTTTTTTTGAGACGGAGTCTCACTCTGTCGCCAGGTGCCAGGCTGGAGAGCAGTGGTGAGATCTCGGCTCACTGCAACCTCCGCCTCCCAGGTTCAAGCAATTCTCCTGCCTCAGCCTCCGGAGTAGCTGGGACTACAGGCACAAGCCACCACGCCCAGCTAGTTTTTGTATTTTACTGCAGATGGGGTTTCACCTTCTTGGCCAGGATGGTCTGGATCTCTTGACCTCATGATCCGCCTGCCTCTGCCTCCCAAAGTGCTGGGATTACAGCACTTTGGCGTGAGCCACTGTGCCCGGCCTAAAATCAAATTATTAAAAGATTTGAGCAGGTCAGGTGCCTGCCACCAGGCCCGGCTAATTGTTGTGTTTTTGTTTTTTTTTTTGAGACAGGGTCTCACTTTGTCGCCCAGGCTGGAGTGCAGTGGCTCAATCTCAGCTCACTGCAACCTCTGCCCCTCAGGTCCGGATTCAAGCAAATCTCCTGCCTCAGCTGCCTGAGTAGCTGGGATTATAGGCATGCACCACCATGCCCAGCTAATTTTTGTATTTTTAGTAGTGATGGGGTTTCACCATGTTGGCCTGGCTGGTCTTGAACTCCTGATCTCGTGATCTGCCCACCTCGGCCTGCCAAAGTGCCATGTTGGCCAAGCTGGTCTTGAACTCTTGACCTCAAGTGATCAGCTCGCCTTGGCCTCCCAAAGTGTTGGGATTACAGGCGTGAACCACCGTGCCAGGCCCTGAATTTGCAGAGTTCTGACAAATGAAGTTTTGTTCTTCCACTGTGCCCTGTAATTTGGTAATTCTGTAATTCGGTTCAGATGCACATGCTGCTGAGTCAGGTTGGGGTCTCTACTATTGCTCTCCCTCTCCAGTCACCCCCCAACCCCGGTTGTGGAAGAGTAGGGAAGGCCCTGGACTTGGGATCTGGCATAGGAGGGTCTGGCATCAAACCCTGGTTCTGAAGCTTTACTGGCCAAGTGTTCAAATGATCTTTCATTCACCAAGCACTTGCTGAGTGTCAGCACTGGGTTGGAGATGCTGGAAAGACGAAGATAAATAAGACATCATACTTACCTGGCAGGGGAGATACCATGGTCACGAAGGTGGTTTTCCCAGGGTTATCCATTGCACTCCGGATGTGCTGACCCCTGCAATTTCCCCAAATGTGGGAAAGTCGACTGCATAATTTGTGATAGTGGGGTACTGCATTTGTGCTTTTCCCTGAATGAAAAAACCCAAAAAACAAAAAAAAAAAACACATAATTTCCTCCCTTCCTCGCTTTCTTTTCTCTTTTCTTTTTGTTCTTTCTCTCCCTCTTTCTTTCTTTTACTGAGAGTTTTTTTTAACTATATTAATCAGAAAAATGTAAAGTATTTAGAATAATAAAATGGACACCCCTGATAAGAACCATCCAGTTTAAAAAATAAAGCTAGAAAGACTTAAAAAATTTTTAGAGACAGAGTCTCACTCTGTTGCCCAGGCTGGAGTGAAGTGGCTTGATCACAGCTCAGTGCAGCCTCCAACCCCTGGGCTTAAGCAGTCCTCCAGCGTCATTCCAGAACAGCTAGCACTACAGGTACACACTACCAAGCCTGGTTCATTTTTAAATTTTTTGTAGAGATGAGGTGTCACTATGTTGTCCAGGCTGGAGTCAAACTCCTGACCTCAAGTGATCCTCCTACTTTAGCCTCCCAAAATGGCTAGGATTATAGAGAAGAATCACCACTCCCAGCCTAGAAAAGCTTCTGAAACCTTTTCCTTGGTGCATATCTCATTTCCTTCTCTCCCACTGAAAGAAAACCTCTGTTGTGCCTTCAGCGTTTATCACCCCTCTGCAATTTTTTTTTTTTTTTTTTGAGACACAGTCTCACTCTGTTGCCCAGGCTGGAGTGCAATGATTTGATCTTGGCTCACCATAACCTCTTCCTCTCGGGTTCAGTTGATTCTCCTGCCTCAGCCTCCGGAGTAGCTGGGATTACAGGCACCTGGTCACCACACCCAGCTAATTTTTGTATTTTTAGTAGAGATGAGATTTCACCATGTTGGCGAGGCTGGTCTCTAACTCCTGGCCTCAGCTGATCCACCTACCTCATACTCTCAAAGTGCTGGGATGACAGGCGTGAGCCACCGTGCCCAGCCCTTTGCATGTCTTTTATTTGTGCTACCTAGGTATGAATGCTTAAATAATACGTAGTGTTAAGCACTTTAAAAATTTCTATGAATCATACTACCAAAATCTTTTTTTTTATTGAGACGGAGTCTCACTCTGTCACCCAGGCTGGAGTGCAGTGGTGCGATCTCAGCTCACTGCAACCTCCGCCTCCTGGGTTCAAGCGATTCTCCCGCCTCAGCCTCCTGAGTAGCTGGGATCACAGGCGTCTGCCACCATGCCCGGCTAATTTTCTGTATTTTTAGTAGAGACCAGTTTCACCATGTTGGCCAGGCTGATCTCAAACTCCTGACCTCAGATGATCCGCCCGCCTCAGCCTCCCAAAGTGCTGGGATTACAGTGGTGAGCCACTGCGCCCGGCCATCGAAATCTTATGACTTGCTGCTAACTTAAAACGTTTTAAGATTTACTTACGTAATACATGTAACTCAATTCATTTGTCTTTGTCGTTTTTTATATTAAGGGTAATTTTTTATAGAAATGTAAAAACTGGCCGGGCGCGGTGGCTCAAGCCTGTAATCCCAGCACTTTGGGAGGCGAGGCGGGTGGATCCCGAGGACAAGAGATCGAGACCATCCTGGTCAGCATGGTGAAACCCCGTCTCTACTAAAAATACAAAAAATTAGCTGGGCATGGTGGTGCGTGCCTGTAATCCCAGCTACTCAGGAGGCTGAGGCAGGAGAATGGCCTGAACCCAGGAGGCGGAGGTTGCGGTGAGCCGAGATCGCGCCATTGCACTCCAGCCTGGGTAACATGAGTGAAACTGCATCTCAAAAAAAAAAAAAAAAATAGGGAAATGTAAAAACTTTATACAAAAATGTAGATAAATAGTAAGTGTACAGCTTAATGAATATTCATAGTCAACACACCTGTGTAACCACACGCAATGAAGAAACAACTGGCCAGGCACGGTGGCTCACGCCTGCAGCCCCATCACTTTTCAGGGGCCAAGGCGGGCAGATCACTTGAGCCCAGGAGTTCAAGACCAGCCTGGGCAACATGGTGAAACACTGTCTCTACTCAAAATACAAAAAATTAGCTGGGCACAGTGGCACGTGCCTGTGGTTCCAGCTGCTTGGGATGCTGAGGTGGGAGGATTGCTTGAGCCTGGGAGGCAGAAACTGCAGTGAGCTGAGGCCTCCCATAGCACTCCACCCTGGACAAGAGTGAGACCCTGACTCACGAAAGCAGCAAATAAAAAAAAAAAGAGAAACAACTCTATCTGTACCCAGAACCATCCGAGCCCCGCTTTGCTGTTGTTGTTGTTGTTGTTGAGACAGAGTCTAGTTCTGTCACCCAGGCTGGAGTGCAATCACGCAATCTTGGCTCTTGGCTCACGGTTACCACCACCTCCTGGGTTCAAGTGATTCTCATGCCTCAGCCTCCCGAGTAGCTGGGATTACAGGCACATGCCACCATGCATGGCTAATTTTTGTATTTTTAGTAGATGGGGTTTCACTATGCTGGCCAGGCTGGTCTCAAACTACTGACCTCAAGCGATCTGCCAGCCTCGGCTTCCCAAAGGACTGGGATTATAGTCATGAGCCACTGTGCCCAGCCTTTATATCATCTTTTTATTTTACCTGCACATCAACTCCATGAGGAAGGTATTGCTACTAACCCTGTTTACAGATAAGAAATTGAACTCAAAGAAGGGAACTTCCTTTTCTTTCTTTTTTTTTTGAGATGGAGTCTCGCTCTGTCACCCAGGTTGGAGTGCAGTGGCATGATCTTGGCTCACTGCAACCTCTGCCTCCTGAGGTTCAAGCGATTTTCTTGCCTCAGCCTCCCGAGTAGCTGGGATTACAGGCGCCTGCCACCATGCCCGGTTAATTTTTGTATTTTTAGTAGAGATGGGTTTCCCCATATTGGCCAGGCTGGTCTTGAACTCCTGACCTTGTGATCTGCCCGCCTTGGCCTCCCAAAGTGCTGGGATTACAGGCGTAAGCCACTGCGCCTGGCCGAAGTTAGGGAACTTTAAGGCCACATAGTGAGGGCTAGTGCAGAACCTCCAGGCTTCACTCTCCCTAGTTGCTGTGGTCTGGCACCGTCTTGTAATGGAGGTGTGTGGGAGGGTCTCATGAAGACAAATCGTTAGAAGCCAATGAGACAAGTAACTGGGATATTATTTGAGGTGCACTGGCAGCCCCAAAGCTGAATGAGATGAATTCCACTGCATGGGTTGGAAGGAGTCACAGAGAAGCCTGGATTGAACTGGATCTTCGGACAAGTCAGTTTAGAGTGAGCACCCATCTCTGATGGTCCTAGTGAGAATTTAAGGTGCTTTTAGCATTAGGTAAAGCTCCTGGTACTCACACATATCAGTACTCGCACAACAGTGAAGGGCTGTTGAAGGAATTAGTGAATGTATGTAGGATCGGAAGAACTTTGCATGGTTATGTTCCTTCCTGGAGCCAGGGGATGGACAAAATGACCTCTTTAGGCCCTATTCATCCTGAGTTTGAGTAGGTCAGGGGAGAGCCTAAAGGGCCAGCTCCCCAGCCCCCACGACTGCAGAGGGGCTGCAAGAGCAATTCCTTCCTAGACAGGGAAGAAACAGTGTCACAGCACCCTGTCACCCTTTCTCCAGCTCTACCCTGATCTCCAGATGCAGCAGAAGGAACTGGGATCTATGACCCACAACTCCCACAAAAAGACCTAGGCTGGGGGATGGGCTGGGGAGGTGTGTGTTTGTTTTGAAAGCCTAGATGAGGAGAAGAAGGAGGAGGAAGAGGAGAAGGAGGGGGAGGAGAGGGAGAGGGGGAGGAGGGAGAGAGGGAGATAGGGTGGAATAAAGGGGGAGGATTAATTTGCAGCTTAGATTTTAGGGCCAAGGATTGAAGCCTCTTCCTGCCCTCCTTCGCTCCTCCAGTTGGCTTTATCCCAAGGAGTTGCCTTGGGGCTTCCGTGATGGCGGCGGGAATGCAGGGAAGCTGTGGGCCTGGGAGCCGGAGGCTAGATGGGGGCAAAGAAGAGTGAGGCTGCCCACAGATCCTGGTGGGCTGGGTTCTGGCAGAAAACCGTGGGCTGACCGTCTCCAGGGCCCGGCGGAGCCTCAGCAGGTTCTACCAGAACTGGCTCAACAGCGGCACCTGCCGGCTGGGGCCGTCTCTGCGGGGCAGGGCTCCTCCACCGCCCTGGTAGCTCCAAGGGTGAGTCACTCCTGGCCTGGCTCTGCGGCCTCCCCAGCTGTCGGATCAGAAAATGTTGCGAGCTGAGGAATGTCCCTAAGCCGAGGGCCTCTGCCCTTCCGGCCGCCACCTGTGCCCCTAACACTACCCTGTTCAACAAGGACACTGACCGAGGGCCAGCGCTGGGGAAAAAGAGTAGCATGAAGCCACTCACTTTAGGGAGCTCCTGGTTTGGGTAGTTCTTTCTTTCTCTCTTTCTTTCTCTCTTCTCTTTCCCTCCCTCCCTCCCTCCCTCCCTTCCTTTCTTGAGACGGAGTCTCACTCTGTGTCGCCCAGGCTGGAGTACAGTGGTGCGATCTTGGCTCACTGCAACCTCCGCCTCCCAGATTCAAGCGATTCTTCTGCCTCAGCCTCCCAAGTAGCTGAGATTACAGGCGTCTGCCACCACGCCCAGCTAATTTTTGTATTTTCAGTAGAGACGGGGTTTCACCAGGTTGGCCAGGGTGATCTTGATCTCTTGACCTTGTGATCCGCCCTCCTCGGCCTCCCAAAGTGCTGGGATTACAGGCGTGAGCCACTGCACCCGGCCATGTTTTCTTTTTTTAGTTTTTTGTTTGTTTTCGAGACAATGTATCAGTGTGTCACCCAGGCTGGAGTGTAGTGGCATGATCATAGCTCAGTGCAACCTCTACTTCCTGGGCTCAAGAGAGCCTCTCACCTCAGCCTCTTGACTAGCTGGAATACAGCCGCATGCCACCACACCTGGGTAATTTTTATTTTCTTCTTTTAGAAATGAAATCTCACTATGTTGCCCAGGCTGATCTGCCTACCTCAGCCTCCCAAAGTGGTGAGATTACAGGCATGAGCCACTGTGTCCAATTGTTTTACTATTTTTTGTAGAGACGGAGGTCTCCCTACGTTG